AGAAAAATACGATTTAAATTAACCCAAGTATTTATCGAATTTGGTGGTAAGTAAAATAGCCATTCTTTCGCTATGCCAGATAATGAAATGAAAATGCTCATAATTTAATTTGTTCTTCGGATAATCCATGAGGTTTCATGCTTGAACAGACTAAATGAAATTCGGCTAAGTACTTGTGCAGACTTTCACTAGGAAGGCCGTGAAAGGTCAGAAGTAAATGTAGGAAAAGTGATACAAAGTGATTGTTGTACTAGATGACATGCGGCTAGTTCGCGGATGGTTTGATCGCCCATTGGTTCTGGATGTTCTGCGTCGAATGTCGGATTTGCAAAGGATGAGAAATCAGCGTCTATAGGATTGGTGAACTACATGGAATCTGTTTAATCTTTGTATGTGCCGTCATTTATGTCTTCAGAACTTACTTGTTCTTGTCATCTCTTTATTTTCTCTCGAAGTGTCCGTGAATTCGTCTCACTCGCGCTTCGATCTCTGTATCAAAATTTTCTAATGTGCCCAAAATTTTCCTAGTCATAAAAAAAGAAAAAAGAAAATTAAATCAGTAACTTTGTCGTAGTCCCAGGCAACAATGCCAATTTTGACACGTGTTATTATGATGTCAAAATAAATAACCTTAATCCTAATAAATTTAATAAGAATAAGTAGAATAGTGAGAGTAAGTGTCGATCCACAGTGACTAGGAGTTTGACAATTTCCTCGGTTTTAATTTGGCTTCAGGCATGATTTGTAAAAGAAATTAGAGGGGGATTTTGGAGAATTAAAGCGAAGTAATAAAATTGATTGAAATAAAATAAAATAGTAAATAAAGAAAATAAAATTCAATTGGTAAAAATCATCCTTGGGCTAAAGCTTTTGCCTCGATTTAAATTGATCATTGAATAGGACTTGGGCTCACGCCAGTAGCAGTCTATAGTGCCTAACCCCTATAACTTATTTTTCTCTCAAATGAATCGAGAATCTAAACTCAATTTTTAGATCTCGACTCTTTGTGAGTTAATAGCGACAATCACTTATTAATTCAACTCCTTTAGATTCTGAAAAAGCCCGACTATGATTATATCATCTCAATTAAGAATCTAACCTGATTTCAGTTTCCCTTAGTGGACCGCTGCTAAGTGTGTTCACAAGAAGTCAAATGTGCCACAGGCTGATCATTCCTTCCAACTATTAATCGAAACTGAAATTCAATTCCAACGTGCACTTTTTGAAATGAAATCTCCTTGATTATAAAAAGATTATCGATTTTCAATCCTTGATTTCTGAAAACTGAAAATGTAACCCTTGAGGGTATGAAGTGCTTTTCAATTCTCACGACTTAAAATCGAGTCATTGCTCTAGCCCTTGGCTATAGAAAACTTAGCTAAGCATGGTAGAAACCATACTTAGCATTTTGAATGGAAAAATAAATTAACTTGAAAAGTAAAAAAAGAAAAAGAAAAACCTTTATAGATCTAAAGGAAGAAAGAAAAACGAGTTGAATGAATTCTTAATGAAAATTGATGCTTAGAGGCTTACCCCAATAGGGTATTTATTGTCCTAAAAAAATCTAGAAAATAATATTCAAAACAAAAGATAATTCCTAAAAATAAAAATAAGATAAATCCTAATTTAGAATTAAAATTCAACTAAGTCTTATTCTCCACGCCACTCCTGATTGGATCTTCTAAAAGCTGTTGACTAGGTCTTCTAGAAGCTGTAGACTGGGTGCCATGTCACCTACCACGTCAGCAGTTATGTCATCACCACATCAACAACCACATCATCTCCATGTCAACTGCCACATTAGTTACTGCATAGATGCTATGTCGGGTGTGTCATGTCCCAAGTCGTGCCTACTAATCCGGCCACGAATAGAAAAAAATAAAAAAAATTGCACGATTTCGTTGTTCTTAGCATAATTTTTGGAATTCAATGTCTTGAATCAAAAATGAATGAAACGTCCAAGTTAGCAACTAAAATTATCTTATCAAGGAGTAATTAATCATAAAATTATGTATAATTTAAACATTAATCAAAATGCCATATCATCCGACCGTTAGAGAGAAAACAAGGAAGTAAGCAAAATGATTCAATCTATAAGTTCAGTGAGCAGAATAGAAAATTGAAAGTTGGGTGAGGAAAATAGGAGAGGGAGTATAGTTTGGTGAGGAACGGTGTAATTTACAACGACAAGAAAATATGATATTTATTTTCTATGTGTACGGTATTATACGTGACATAATGATCTTAAATGGGAACAACTCCTTTTTGACACATTTCTTTTTAATAATTTAGGGTGATTATAAGATATTATTTGTTCAGAATCTTCTTTAACCATTAATAATGCACACACACATGCAGAAACAACTATTTGAACCCAGAACCTCTAAAACATAATACTCTCCATCACTACGACTACTTGATTAGTTCATCTAAATGTTTTTTATATGTTGTGTACGTTATCAAATTTGGAATTGCTTGAAAAATAATAAGTGAGAAAAAATATTATTTCTTTGATTATCTAACATTTTAAGTAATTATAAGTTTTATTATACAATTTTTTAGGCTTAATACACTTTTTAGTGCTTAAATTATACCTTAAAATATGATTTGGTGCTTATTTTTTTTGCTAATAATAAGTTCTATGTTTTCTCCGTTACCATTTTAGGTACCTGGGTGAAAATCTCCATTAAAAAACTCTATGAAGTCATGATTTAGTAATTTTTAAAAATTTATTTAAAAAATTAAAATTAAAATATTTTTTTATTAAAATAAAAACAACACACTGTGAAGTTGTCCCCTCTCCCTCCCCGTGTTCTCTATTCTCCCCCTTCCATGCAACTTTCTTAAATGGTCAAAGGTTGATTGCCACAATTGGCCAAATGAAAAAGAGCTAACTGCCACATCCGATCAAACGACCGATTACCATGATCGATCTAAGGGATTTTTAGAGATTCGAATGTTTAAAATGAAATCTTTCATTTACATTGTTGTTGGGTGTTTGACTGGTTGCAAAAGTATGGGGGTTTTTAGTGATTGATGGTTGGTCGGTTATATGTCGTTGATGTTCGACCGATTGACGACATTGGTGGTGGCCAGCAGTAGAAGAGATTAAAATTAAAGTTTTATAAGTTTTGGGGTTTTTTAAATGAATGAAATTAAAGGTTTTAGGGTTTTTGGTGTTATTTTGTAATTTTAAAAAACTTTAGTGGTTTTTTTATAAATAAATTAAGCTTTTTTATTTTTTTAAAAAATATTTTTATTTATATAAAAATATTATAATTGGAACCTAAAAGTGTAACAAAGAAAACGTTAGATGCCTATTTTTAACAGAAAATTCTTTAGGCACCAAATCATTTTTTGAAGAATTGTTTATGCACTAAAAAGTGTATTAAGCCTTTTTTTTTGTGAACAATGAATTAGTCAACATTGAATATATGATACTGCTTTGTTGAGTTATTTAACCATTAAAAGTTATAAAATGATCCTCAATTATAGGGCGTTGCTTTTTTATCCCATCGACTATTAAAAGTTACAAAATGGTCACCCAATTATTCATTATGTTCCAAACTCATCCTATTCAGTTAAAAAATTAATGACAATATGAGCTGGACATTAACTTGGTGAGTGAGATATGATAAAATCTGATCTAATAATCTTAAATGACTATCATATCTCAGTCAACATGTTAACGTCCAACTCAGATGACTGTTAATTTTTTAATGGAACAGAACGAGTTTGGAACATAATGAATAGCCTAGTGATCTTTTTTTAACTTTTAATAGTCGATGGACTCAACAAAGCAACTCTCTATAATCGAGGGATCATTTTGTAACTTTTAATAGTCAGAGAACTCAACAAAACTATATCCTATAGTCGGAGGAGCATTTATGTACTTTACGTTAAAATTTATAACTCATAAATAAATATTTTTTTAACTCATGGTAAAAAAATATATTTTTTACTCCAAACCCAAACCTTAAATCTTAAACCCTAAATCCTAAATCCTAAATCATATACCCTAAATCCTAAACATTTATTAGTTTTACATAGTATAAGTGAATCCTAACTATATATCTCAAAATACTCTCTCAATATTCCTACAAAATTTGTCTTTACAACATTAGTTAATTTCAATAGTGTAGAGATCACAAAATATATTATATCTCTATAAAATAATTCTCTCATGATTCTACTGTTAGGATCTAGTTTATATTATAGAGAAAAATTTAGTCACTCAATAATTCTTACCTAAATAAAATTAATCATAGAGTAATCTTTAACCATTAAAACTACAATAAAATCCATTTTAATAACCAATTAAAATTTGAGTTATAGTAATATTCATGACAAATGCATTGTATAAAAACTACAAATTAAGCTTTCAGTAATTTTATATGTGTGGAAGTTAGTCATGATCCTTTAGTAGAATGAGTGATTAACTTAACAAATGATATAGTTAATAGATGAAAAATTAAAATTTAATCGCATATTATTTTAATTCATAAGTACAAATGGTCCATATATCAGTTCATTATAACTCATGAATGAAATGTATGTAAAATTAGGTAGTTAATTTTTTTTATATTTTTGAAAAAACATTATTATTGCATGGAAAAAATCCCACGTCAGCAAAAAAGCGTACGTCTGATGTGTGCTCTATTGACAAAAGCAAAGTCAAAACTTGGGGGAATCTATGGTGGGTCACGCATATAACACATTATGCACAAGTTCACTCTACGCCGCACGTAACTACCAATATACCCCTAATCTCTCCTGAAATTTACCCTACAAATTCAACAAATCCCTCACACCGGTAACACCACTGTAGACATTTCATCCACCGTATTTACAGATAGGGAAAGATCCCAGAAATATTTGCCAAAAACAAGTTTATTTATTTGTTTATTATATTTTTTGAAACACATTTATTTGTTTATTTATTTCCTCTAAAGCAGGCGATCAAGCCTCGTTATCCAACGTGATTGTAAATCTGGGAAGCCATGAAATCATTGCCAAAATCACTCTCAAACGCCGTCGTTTTTGTTCTTTTCATCATTCTATCTTCCTCTCCATTTGCATTGGCTAAGTGTGAAGAAAAGATCATCACTAATGGATGCCATGACGAGAGAGAATCCATGAAGCTAAAACTCATTGCCCTTGTCGCAATTTCAGTGTCCAGCGTGATTGGTGTGTGTTTACCGTTGTTGTCTCATTGTATGCCATCACTTACACCCGACAGCGACATGTTCGCCGTCCTTAAGGCGTTCACTTCTGGTGTTATTCTAGCAACAGGGTACATGCACGTGTTACCGGACTCTTTCAGCGCCCTGATGTCCGATTGTTTGCCTAGACATCCATGGAAGAAGTTCCCTTTCACGGCTTTCGTGGCGATGATGTCGGCTTTGCTGACCCTTATGGTGGATTCATTTTCCATGAGTGTGTACAAGAAACTTAGCGGTAGAGCTTCGGAGGTGGATGCGGACAATGGTTCTAGACATGAAAATGGGAATGTAACAACAGAGAATTATGAGCCGGGACATGGACATGGCCCTGCACTTGAGATGAATCATAAATCGTCGCAATTGTTACGGCATCGAGTTATTGCTCAGGTATATATACATGTTTGAATACTCAATGTTTGTAGAATTAATGTCCAATTGGTATCTTTGTGTTTGAAATTGTATGAATTTCATAAATGCAGGTACTAGAGTTGGGAATTGTTGTTCACTCAGTGGTGATTGGTCTTGCAATGGGAGCCTCCGACAATCGATGCACCATTCGACCACTCATTGCCGCTCTTTGCTTCCACCAAATGTTCGAGGGAATAGGACTTGGTGGATGCATATTACAGGCTGAATACGAGTTTCAAATGAAAGCAATCATGGTATTCTTCTTTTCAGTCACAACTCCACTCGGAATTGTTATCGGAATTGGTTTGACAAAGGTTTATAGTGCTACAAGTCCGACGGCACTTATTGTGGTGGGACTACTTAATGCTAGCTCAGCAGGGTTGTTGAATTACATGGCACTGGTTGATCTTCTTGCAGCTGATTTTCTAGGCCCTAAGCTTCAAAAAAATATGAAGCTCCAGGCTTGGTCATATGTTGCAGTCTTACTTGGTTCTGGATTTATGTCTTTGATGGCAAAATGGGCTTAGTGGATTCAACATGTACTCTATATAACATGATTCTTTTTGCAGTTCTTAAACATATTCTTCCCTTCATTAGATAGAAGGATTTTTCAGTGAATCAATGATAAAATTTGCTAGGGTTCAGAGGACCTAAAAATAGTTCCAATTTGTCAAGGTTCCCAAATCCCTTGTGCCCCAAGAAAGCTATGCCTATTGGAATCTCATGGGAAAGTGCATGCCTACTTGCTCCCGATGGCACTCGATAGTCGGTTCTGCTGCAAAAAGGATAGCTACGAGTGGAATCAGGCAACAAGGCTTGAACATTGGGTTTTACGATTGTTTTCTCCAAATTGTATGGCTCATCAGCAAATATTTAGGTTTGCAAACTTCAGTTTTGTGCCAGCATCATTTTAATTGAAAACTGTTCAATGTTACACCAGACGTTTCTTTAAGCCAGTGCTTATGGCCACAAAGTTTCTTTGGTAAAAGCTACAAGGTCAGATTATGCTATAAAACACAAAAAATGTTGTATAAAAAACCCTTCATCAAGACGATATGATATCGACAGGCTGCTTTCGGTGGATGGAAGATTTGCATTTCCACCATTTACCATCTCTGGTTGCTGATGATCTGCCTTGTTGTCTTATGTTGGTTTGGCCAAAAAAATAGCTTGAGATCTTCAAGTATAGCCTTTTTCATCCCTCAAGTAATATACAATTTGTATATTGTTGAACAATCATACATAAGACCTTGAGGGATTAATTTGGGGTCTAAAGCTAGTCTTAAACATAGAAAATGCTTCTACTGTTTCTGCTTTTAAAGCTGATCACAGGATGAGCAAGTGACTAATATTAATAGTGACCACAATCCAAAAAGAACTATACAGAAAAAGATGAAGAGCTGAGAATTATTGAAAAAGTATATCAATGTGAAAGAAAGGAGATACAAAAAAGGCAAATAACTTTCTCCTATTCAAAAAAGGGTGAGGCCACAATAGACCCAAAGTGTCCCCTCATGCTCTTCTTTGTATAGTAAACCCTATAAATGACTATTTATTTACCCCCAGAATTTTCAAAGAGTGCATGTGGAATTTAGCCTGTCGTAGAAAAATTCTAGAATTTCCATGTAATATAATAGATCAAGCATGATCATAAATAGGAAATTATAGTTGGATATTACTCTGTTTACTCTATACAACCATGGTTTGTTAAACCTACTTGAGTTTTATAACCAGGTTTGACACTTGAGTTAGTCTCACAAGGCAACTCACTTGTTAATGGAGACACCAAAGCATTGAAGTTGACATGCCTCCTCTTCTTTCTCGGTTAGGTTCAAAAATGATGATGATTGTAAGCAAAGCATCTCCACATGTCCACAAAGCAGGTAAGATCATATTTGCTTATGTATTTTGTCAATAGGGAATTGGCTGGTTAATGCTTGTGGCTCTGGGATCTTGAAGAATCTATTTAATCAATCCTATAGGAATGGAAATAATATAATTTAAATATCATGGATGGTTGCGGATATCAACGTCTTAATGCCAATTTGTTTTCAGGAATATGGTTTTAGATCACCAAGCAAGCAGGGGACCTATTACTTACCTGGAAGAACATAGGCCTTTCTAGTGACTTAACTGCAAGAAAAATGCACAAGAAATGTAGACTTTTTGTAATTGACAAAAAATACTCCGATAGATAGTGATTGATCATTGTGGCACGTCGATCGGTTGCGAGTTTGGGAACACTGTTGTACTAGGAAATATCTCATGATTGATTAATGGTTCCTGTAGGAACCTTTGAAGCTATAAGGGTGAAACATAAATCACTATTAAACCAGCAGTTCATGAACATATAGTATATATGATTAAGATCACTAGATGAACTAAAACTTTTCTTTAGAACACCTAAACAACTTTATAGTATCCACATTGTTAGTGGATTAAGACCTTAATGAAGCTAAGGTCAGCGACAAAAAAGCAAGCATGCGGTTTGTTCAGTAATATTCCAACGGCACCATCCACCATTATTATTATTATTATAAAAAAAACTATTTTCCACTGACAACAAGGCATTGTGAAGGTTTTGAAAAATACAAGTAAAGAAAGAAACTGCAACTTGTGTTTTTTAGTAAGACGTGGGGAATGTAGATCACAGAATTTAGAAGAAAAGGAAACGATGGCGAGGAGTCTTATATATCTTACTTGAAATCACTGTGAATTGCGATGATCTCACCAAAGAAATGAAAAAAAAGTAGGTTTATTTAAGTGGAGGGGAAAGTGGAGTCAGTGCATGATGAAGAATATAGCGATAACAGTACCGTCTGAAATCGTTATTGCACGACCGTGATACTTACAATGACCGCAATAGCATTCGTTAGTCTACAATTATGATAAATATAACGCAACCAAAAATACGGCCGCGACCACAATTTAAATCCATGCCCCTAACATTACTAAAGTAACCAATTGTTTAAGGCAATAAAATTTTCAGAGGCAGTACTAAAAGCAATGCATACCCTTTATTGCATGTAGACTGTAACCATATAAGTTTCAGAGATTTTGTAATTAGTATTTTACTACTCTTCTACAGACAAATTCTTTTGTAATTAGTATTTCACTACTTCTCTTCTACAGATAAATTCTTTCATCTTTTGATGAAGATCGATGATTGTTTGCCAATACGGAAGTACAAATGCAGACACTCTTATTACCATTTCCATGGATTTGTTTTATTTTGATGAAGATATTTTCCTAATGGCAAAACATGGTAATTATTATTATATGTATATCAATCCGAGATGAAAAGAAAATAAAAATCAAATACTTTATAGATCCACAATTTGCTTCTATGGGTGATTCATACAAGTCGCGGCAAACGACATTCAATTTCTCAATATGTATAAAAATCCAAGACGAAAAGAAAAGAAAAGTCAAATACTTTATAGATCCACAATTTGCTTCCATGGTGATTCATATAAGTCATGGAAAAAAACGACATTCAATTCCTCGATAGGATCTCGTTGTAAAATTTGTGTACATGAATCAAGAATAAAACAAACACAATTAATAACATGAAAAATATTTGATTAAATAATCTTAATAGAAAACCATAAATATATGAATAGTAATAAGTTGAGGCCTGCAATTACGCTGTTTACTTAATACAGATTTTCGACCACTCCTTGGTGCTCGAGATCTTTGGTCGTCTGTCTCCCAGGATACAACAACGAGATGATCAGCGCACAACAGCACAACTGTCGAGATCACGAATTATTTCTTGTTTTCGCCTATCACCAAAAACTAAAGAAAATAATTATTTTAAATTTGTTTTTGAGATTTTTTAAAAAAAAATCTATTTAACCTACTAGGTTAACACGATATTTATAGGAATTTCACATTGTGAACAATTGAAAATTTTTGACCTAATGAAGCATTAATGAGAATCAAATAATTAAACAATTTCCATAATTATTGTTTTGATTAAAAGAATTTTTTAATATTTATCCTTTTAATTCCAAAACAGGTTTTGAAAAGATATTGTCTATTTGAGGAAAATATCTCACATTCGGGTTAAAATATCCGCAAGCCCTCAAAAAGCTAGACCAATTCAGACATTCACGTTACCCACATCGTCCACGTATGAACATTTACGAACCAACAATTGGTTCAACATTTTCCTTAACAACGTTTGGATCAATTTCTCATTCGAAGCTCCAAAATTATCAATTTTTTCAACAATCCCCCACATGAATGAAATTGATCATTTTATCAAAATCATTTTGGCTCGATGTGGTGATAGACTCTACGATTGATAATTGCATAGGATAGGTAGGTGTCTTCCTTTTAACCTTCCCTTGAGACAATATATTTACTTTACTAGTTGACTAGTAGACATGATGTCCTTGAATTGTTTTGTCGTTTGTGTAAACGATGTTATACTTCACACAATTACCCCTCTGAAAAGAATTTTAGTTCTCATGGGTATGTCTTTAAAGCCATGGACATCGCCTGATTTCGCAAGGGTTTGAAAGAACTATGCCCAATAGTCTCCTTGAAGCAGTCCCACTTTACTTTCACATTGGTGACTTATGTTTCTCGACTCTTCGAAGCACACAATGGTCATTAAAAGCTTTGCTTAGCCTATACCAATTTGATCATTGTTTACAACATAGGAACGAACTTGGGATAATAAACCCCCACAGTGACCGCACACGGTTTATGCAATTAGGTTGTTCCTTTCAACCTAGATCTTGGGATCTCCAGTCAACAAGGTAGAGTTTTCCTTCACATAAAGCCTTTCATTTCATGGGCTTTAGTTTCATTCCTTTTGATGTTTTCTCAATTTGATCTCAATATTAACCCTTCAGTTAGTGAATCTGCGATGTTATCCTTTGATCTTACAAAGTCAACAATGATAATTCCATTTGATATTAATTGTATAATGGTATTGTGTTGATGATGTATGTATCTCAACTTACCATTATACATAAAGCCTTTCATTTCATGGGCTTTGGTCTCATTCCTTTCAATGTTTTCTCAATTTGATCTCAATATTAACCCTTCAGTTAGTGAATCTGCGATGTTATCCTTTGATCTTACAAATTCAACAGTGATAATTCCATTTGATATTAGTTGTCTAATGGTATTGTGTTGATGATGTATGTATCTCAACTTACCATTATACATAAAGTTCTGTGCTTTACCAATATATGAATATTGTGGGCACAAACGTTGGCCATTGAAGAATATCCTCCAAGAAATTCTAAAGTCATTCAACTTATTCTCTAGACTTGTTTAGAGCTACAAACGCTTATTCCATTTTGGATTTGGTTACAACCGTTTTCTTAAGTATTTCTATGACCTGACTCCTTTTCCTATATGAAACATTTTCACTTGTGCCTTTGATATCTTGAGCATCAGTTATTCAACTGGTGTCAGAGTATCTAAGGAAGCATGATCTTGGGATAATATAATCCATACTCTTGAGCATATGTGATATCACAACTCTCTCATAATTACTTTTCAGAGGTTTGT